GCCAGGGTCTTAGGTGCCCTTTTAAAAAGTTTTCCAAATTTTTATCCACTTATATTGTTTCATCTTGCACCCAAAGTCCTTGGTTTCTACAACAGACTTCACAATTCATACTCTGGCATTTCCCTCAGAACACTTTTTCTTAGCAATTCAAGGAGATAACCATTTCTTTTTTTTTGATTCTCTTTCTTTCTTTTTTTTTTTTTTTTTGGTATGGGGGATTGAACTTGGGACCTTGAGCTTTCAAGGCAGGCACCGGAACCACTGAGCTAAATCCCCGGCCCTTTTTTGCTTCTTTTAAACTTAGTTTTTGGTCAGGAATCCATTGTTGTTCTTTTTAAAAACCATGTTTTCTCCTCTCTGAACCAGTGGTTATGAAGCTTCTCAAAATTGCTGAAAATGCCTGTAGTGGCTTCCACTTTGTAAGCTGACCTGGATTTAGGCCATGAATGGGTGGAGCCTGACACAGTCCATAGTTAGGGCATCATGGCAATTTTGTATTAAAGGAGCATACTGAAGGATGTACAAAACCCACATCTATTCTTTAGAAGTATTTCTATTGATGAATTATTAATTTTAATTTTATGAGTTTTATTATATCAAACAATGAGTACTTAACAGGAAAAATAGAAAAATAAACTTGAATTTTCAATATTTATTGTTTATAAAAAAGGATCAAAATTTTCAACATTGACTTTTTCGGTGTACAAAGCCTAAAAAGAACAACAGAAATAAATTACTATATGAACTCATTGAAAATACCAATAGCTCTCTACAAAAAGAGTAATCTTTACTTCAATTATCATACGTAAGGCAGTCTTCATATGTGACAACAGCACATTCTATACACACGTATTGCCTGCACTGACAGCACATGTGCTTAGCTTTACTGTCTTTTCTGTAGGACATACTTGACATTTTGCTGGTCCTCCTGTTTTGTCAGGAAGTTCTTATTATACAATGTGTAGTTAACAGGAACATAAAATATCAATGAAATAAAGTATTACATTTTTAGTATATATTGCATGTTTAGGATAAATATCAACATTTCCACATCAGCTGTGTACTTGCTTACAAAGTCTAAAAGCATCAGAAATAAATACCTACATGAATTACAATGTAAATACAAACAAAAGTCTACCATAGAAGTAATCTTTGCTTCAGTTGTCACATTCAAGGCAGTCTCCATGTTCCATGCACAAATAATGCTTTCCCTGATACGACATATGTTTTGTTTTCCTGTTCTTTTTTTTCGGTAGGGCACAGCTGATATCTTTTTGGTTTTCCTGTTGTCATAGTAGGTCTTTGTGATGTTGCATTTGCTTGTTCATCTGTGAGCTCACCAGTGTGCTCCACAACTTTTTTGTGTAGTTCCCTGGGCAGAAATATTTTGTTCTTTCTCTGTTGTAAATGATCTCTTATGAGTCCCAGTCCCAATCCTCTAAGAAAATTTCTCCATGATATTTTTCACTTGTTATTTGCTTTGTAAACTATCAAACTGTTTGTGCAACAAACAGGATCAAGTAAAACACAATCATTGGCCAACACTTTGTGTTTTTTTTGTTTTGGTACTGGGGATCAAACTAGGGACCTTGCACTTTCGAGGCAGGCAACAGAACCACTGAGCTAAATCCCTGGCTCAACACTTTGTGTTTTGAGTGACATCATAGTTGCTGCATAACTCATCAACATCTACTCCACCTTTGTTTTTTTTTTTTGCAAAAAGTTACCATCTGAGACTTCAATTTTTTCAAGGTTTCTTAGTCAATTTTTCCATCGTGGTGCAATGTTGACATCAGCAATACCAGTTTGTTTTTCTTTCCCATATATAAGGCCAGTGTTATAGCTTTCTGAAATCCAAAGATTGTACTATATAATCCTCTGTTATGAAATGGCAACATTTTATTGGGAATTTCTGCCTTGTTTGTGCATACAGTTCCTACGCTGGTCAACTTGTCCTCTGTTAGCAAATGTAATATCAATCAGAAACTGGTAAACCAATTGTCAAATGTTATATTCTGATTAGTTTGGGAGATGGGAGCAACAAGTATGTTCACAACATCATTTGGTTCATTACTATAAGAATAAAGACCCGGTGTCTGAGTTCAAGGATAAATTTCTAAATTCAAAGTATATGTCTTCAAATCTAGCAGGACATATATCTTTATAGCATATTTTGAAGGCTTTTTTGGCATATACTACCTAAAGCTACAGTGACCAGGTTTTTCATGCACCATTTTACTGAATTGGGCTACTTCTATAAGAGAAATCAAAAGAAAACTAAAATAAATCCTAAATGCAAGAAAATCAATAATGGACATTTCATGGATAAAACTCAACTGTTTCTGCTTCGGAGCTCCTGTGCAAACCTGGCCATTCATCTGGCAAGTGCACATATGGGCTTTCCCCAGGCACAGCTACTGTGAACCATACCTGGATTCCATTATGAAAAATTAGATGTTTGCAGAACAGAAGACTTGTATGAGTGTATTTTACCTGCTGTGATGCTCAGGGATACATACACAAAAAATACTACATGGACCATTTCATGTGTGTAAAAATCTTGATTTGACACTTTTGCACAGGTGTACATGCCCTGCTGTTCATAGTACCAAATGAGTGAATACAACAATTGCTTTCTGTATTCCTCAGGCACAGCTACTGAGATGCATATCTGGCTATCATTATGCTAAAGTACATAATTTAATTAGAAAAGTATGAAATGGGTTATGGTAACACACAATAATGCCCCAAGGATAAAGGACTTTGTGTCACCTGACAGATGTACCTCTCCTGCTCTAGCAGAATGGCATGAGAGCTGCTGGGAGGTGTCTTTCTGCCCACCTAATTTGCTTAATGCCACCAGGGGAATGGCTAAGACATGGAGCCAACAAGATGTACCGTCAAGAAGTAGCTGATAGTCTTGACAACAAATAACACCTAGTAATTTTTGCCCAAGTAATGTTTTCCCATATAGGTTTAGATCCTGGGGCAAGATTCAAATGATGAAGTTGGTTGACCCAGGAAATACCAAAGGGCTCCAACATGAATGACTTGATTGTCCTTACCAGAAAAGACACTTTAGTTAGATTCTGCATACTGTCCTAGCATAGGGTATTCCTTCGTTCCTATGAAATATATAGTAGAAATGCTTTTTAAAGTGTCCTTCAGATGCATCCGTGCTATACTGGTTTGTTAACTTATGTTCCCACCTTCTGTAGTTTCCCCTTCCCTCTCAGTTTTCTAACTATGTCAGCTTGCTGCTCAAGAATGGGTGGATAGTTCTAGGGCACAGTATGTAGAACCATGCCAACCATGTAGAAAACACAGTATGAAATTTTGTTAAGTAAAAATAAGAAATGACTCTTACTTTCAAAGAGCTTGCCATTTAGCTGGAAAGATAAAATTCATAAATAAAAAGCAACCAGTGTAAAGTACAGTATTGGGGGAAAAAAGCCACATAAGAGATTTGAAAAGAGATAGGATATATTTTTTTGTGTTCTGCTCAAGTTACCTCGGTTATTCTTTTCAACAATTAGGAAATCCCTCTATTTTATAGTCAGGAAGTTGAGTTTAACATGTATTACATGTCTAAGAGTCCTGTCATATGTGCAGAAATGAAATTTGAACTCAGGACTTTATGAACTGAAACCTCTTTTTGCCCACAGCCAGAGTAGACAGAAAGCTTTGAAAGCAGGCTGTGGCTAATCTTGAAGAATTGACCAAATAGAGGAGGGTGGAGAGCACACATAGGTTGGGGACAGGGGAGGGAGTGGGCACAGCATGAGCAAAGGTGTAGCAGTGGCAAGCACAGAGTGGGAGCTGATCCCCAGGTTTGCTAGAGAAAGGGAGGAGAGAGGGATAAAGCAGGAACATGGGTGGGAAGCAGAGTATAAGAACTCTCATCTTCAAAATTGAGTTTGGACTTTACTTAATAACTCATTTCATAAATGGTTGAGAATGGGTGTGAAAGGGAGTGACATTATGAAAAGTGTTCAGGTGGGATGCGGAATGGACTGGAGAAAGGGAAGGGCTATCATCTTGAGAGCTAGTGTTTCCTGAGCTAGCTGGGTATGGTGTTGAGTGCTTTATATGTATATGTCATTTTGTTCTCACAATAGCACCAAGGAATAGGTACTTTTTATGTCATTTTCACTTCCTAATTAGAAAACTGAGACTTTCAGAGGTTAAGTAATGGCCAGATGAAGAACAGTGGTACCAGGATGTGACTTAGGTAGATTGAACTTCATTTGTGCTTCCACATGCCACACTAGACAGCAGTTCAGGAGACGTTTTGGAACCATTTTAATTAGTTGGGTATGATAGTCCAGGTGACAAGGCCTGAACTAAGTCATTAGTGGTAAAAATGGAGAGATGGGTACAGTATGAAATAGTTTGGTATGATATGGGGGCCTGATGCCAGAGCTGAGCCTGTGACCTCATGGCTTTTCTTAGTGTTTTCCAAGCAAGCTGGCACTCAGTTTTGAGAACTTGCCAAGACCATAGAAATTCCATGGAAAACTTGTCCTCCAAACTTCTGAGACAGTCTAGGCTTCTTGTTTTTCCTAAGGGTATGTATTAATTTAGTCAGGTAAGCACTGAAGTTGAGGGTGCTTGGTTTATGTTACTTTTGAGATGGCTTAAGCAACTTCCAGGTATTCTCAAGCATCACAAGCTCTAATTATTACAGTTCAAGACAATAAGTCTCCCTGGGGATCAGTTGGTGATCGTTTCCCTCTTTTTTCCACGAATACCCTCTCTCCTAATGCTTATCTGGGTGTGTTCCCTGTTTTGCTCTCTGTAGGTTGATATATCACAGAATTGTTTAATTCTCTTTAAATTTGTTGGGGTTTTTTTTAAGAAAAAATTATGCATGCATTTTGACTCTGTGAATTTTTGTTGCACAGTTCAATGAGCATACAAAACGAGTGTGCTGAACGCTGTTGTGATCACGTGAGACAGCATGGGCCAGCCCAGTGATCTCTCTGTTCTGTCTGCTGCAGGTGATAAGAAGTACATCATGGGGCCCAAACTTTCCACTCTCGACGCCACTGTCTTTGGGCACTTGGCACAGGCAATGTGGACCTTACCAGGGACAAGACCTGAGCGGCTGATCAAAGGCAAGCCCTACGAACCTCTTCAGCTTTTAGGAGTTGCTAGGGTGGGCGGGCAGGCGAAACAGTGTGTAGTATTCTAGGCTGATGCTTTGAGTTTGGCTGTGCTCAGAGGCTGTGGTGTCTGGGGCCAGAATCAGTTTTCTGCCAGCTTCTTAGTTAGTGGGACTTGATAATTGTGAAATAGGATTTGAATGCCGCTTAGTACCCTTGTTTTGTTGATTGTCCTTGGCGCAATAATGACTCACCACATCCTGCTTTATCCAGTTGCTACAGCAATCAGGGTGAGGTGGGACCGATGAACTCACTGCCCATTTCAGTTGGTCCTTTTGAGTCTGAACCGGTCTTAGATATTTCACATGTGGATTATATTTGATTATATCACTTGAATTCAACTCTTTCTGCTACTCCAGTGGGGTAGCTTTAGATCATCTACTGAGAATAGTAGAACTGGATAGTCAAGATTGTGGAAAACTGTCAACAAATGCTAAGTCTGATGCCAAGGAATTATTATTAGACTGTATTATTACATATGCAAGGAAACATAACCTTGGCATATTTTTTTTGTGAGATCTTGGCTGTAAGGCCTACTAGAATAACAATTCTATTGGAAACAAAGTAAAAAGTGAAGGTAAATGGACCAGAGCTAGGTGATGAGCATGGAGTAGGGTAAGCATAGTAGCCAGAAATGAAATTCATGGTGGGAAAAGGGTAGGGAAAGTCAGTTCACCTTGGGTTCATGACCTGGGACCATGTCTTTGTGTGGATATATTTGTATGTGTGTATTAGGGTGAGGTGGGGTGATGTATATAGCAGTTGGGACTCTCGAAGAGATGGGAACTGTTTGAAGTCATCTTCAGTTTAAAGCAGCATCTAAGCAAGTGAGTGGGGGCTATGGATGTGAGGATCAAAGTTTAACATGTATGTTTGGGGAAGGTGATTGACAAGAGTTAATTAGAGTTGATGCTCAACTGAGCAGGCTAGGGATATAGATGAGATCACCGGTAGAAAGGTGCGTGGAATACTATTAATACTGTTGGGTGGGTGGATGGGTGTATGGATGGATGAATGGAACTCAGAAAGACCGAATCATACAAGAAACAGAGGCAGGGGTGGTGGTCGATAGTGGGCAGCGGGTGGGAGGAGGCCCCCTCCCTCCAGGTGCATGCTCTGGAGTTCAGATCCTGTCCTGGGCAGCATGCTTACTCTTCAGATCCTCTTTTTTGTGGGGCTGGGGCTTCAGATACATTAGCAGACTTGGCTGGAATGGATCAGGCACAGACTGAAGGTTTTCCAGAAGGTCACAAGTGGGGCTAGGGACAGTATGGAATGACATTTAATTTCATCATTAAGTCACTTTGAAGACGTTCCTTGTTTTGTGATTCATTGGAAGTTTTCTAAATTTTTTTTCCCCATTAAGTTTATTGGTACATTTTTGGTATAAAATACAGTTACATTCATTATTGGGATCTTGTACCATTACATGAGTCTCTTGGTTCTT